GGAGAAGATGAGGTGGTCACCCGCCCTTCAACTTTCAACTGATTTTCTTCGCTGTTGTTCCCCTCCCAAGATAAATAGAAAAAATAAGTTAGCAGCGCTCAAAGATCTAAAGAAATAGGAATTAAAAAAAAAATTTTTTTTATTATATGTTATCTGAAAATAAAGCGTGGCACGAAAGAGCCTTTACCACCTCATCTTCTCCTTCCACTTCGGCAACTTTTTGATTAATCTAATGTGGCTGGATATAATTGGTAGGAATTAGGCATTTTGCGAATCCTTTCTTTAGTTACAATAATTGGCTGTTTTGGATCTATGTTATAACAGATTTCGACATCGCCTAACCTTTTTATTTCTTCGGTATATTTTTTAACATTTTCTTCAGTGTATTCTGCATAATAATACATGCATATTGCTAATTTCCAAGATATTTCCATTATTTTGGTGATAAAGCAAAAGAAAGAAGAAAAATTTCAAGACTACCACTTTTATTAGACTCCGTTCTTCCCGGGGACCACCGGGAGCGTATACTCTACAGCATCATCCAATGAAACTAGGGAGATCATTAGAGTAATTAACCCCTGTTGCTTTCTGCTTCTCTATACGTTTTTTCTTATTCCTGTTGTATTCAGCTTTAGTGTTATTGAAAAAAGGCTATTAAGTCGATGACTTGCGAATTAGATTCTTTATTAAGAAGAGCTGAATATTATTATATTAAGTTTGTGTCAGAGTTTACTTGGGTAGAGAATCTATGACTGCTATTTATATTATGGTCGTCACTGACATTATTTATGCTTATATTAATACTGTTATACTAGTAGCTACTATAGTTGTTATTATAAGTTATTCTTATCAGATGCGATAGAGTAATGTAAAGTAGAATGTATGCTCTACTGTAAGATTATACTCGAGTTATTATAATGATTATCTCATCAAACACGTCAATTCCTAAGTTTTGGTAAAATATAAGTAAAAGGAAAAAACGATCTATATTCTGATCATTTTGAAAAGCTCGATCAAGTTGTTTAAAATCATTGATTTCATAATGCGTGTTCTGGGGAGGGAAAAGATACCCTCTTCCAGACCCTTCCTCCAATTCTTTTCCACTCGATGCTAACTTGAATTTTTCATTTGCATGCTAATTTTTAAGCTTTAAACACTAAATGTTCAACTCATCCCATACAAATCTAGTTTCTAAATCAAATAGTTCACTATAACTGACTAAATTCAAATATGGTTTTTGGACAAAAGACGAGAATAAAGACGAAAAGCGGTACTTTAAAGACGAAAAGCGG